CACAAGTCCTGATTTGAACTGAACTAATAATGTGCCATTCAGTAGGTATGTTGCCATGATGGACAACTATAACCGGCGTTTTTAAAAACGGAATCCATGATTCTAGTAAGACTCATGTTCCTACATATGTAACACGACATGGATTCAGAGAGCTGAAGCATTTTCAGTGTTGCATAGAGTAAAAGGTTTTACTTTCCCTGTAACACCTTTTGCTGCCTCTGATGCTGCTCCTGAAGAGCAGGGCTGTACACAGCCCATTACATCCCGTCTGTGACAGGAACACAGAGAGTACAAACTACATTAAGGCAGCAGTATGCATTTCACAAAGAAAAAGGAGAGAACTGAGACTGTAAAACCTGATGTCACTAAAATAAAGCCACCACCACACAAATCTGAACAAGCTCTTGCACAGACATGCAGTTCAGTTTCACAGACCAAAACAATTATACTTTCTGACAGTTAGTCTTTATTGGTTGGTTAATAGTATACACTCTAGCTGATTCCACTTCCAGTTGTGTACATAAAATAAACTACACCTTCATTCCCCTAGCCCAAAAGATACCCTTTTCAAACTGTAAAACTCGCTTCCTTTCTCTGTTCTGCTCTCATAGGCGAGCTGCATTATTCTGTATCAAGAAATGTAGAGCTGAGCTTCTTGCCAATACAGATGTGGCTCAGCGATACACTCCCCCAGTATCCTTGCTGAACAGATAAGACTTTTCACTTAATATTCTGAACCAATTAGAATGTGAATATTTGATGTGGGGGGGATCTTTTAAGCATATAACTCCCACCACTTATTAAAGCACAAAATAAATGGAGCGTTATTTGCATGATATTTACATTTCCCTAGCCAGTCAGGCTGCCGCCACAACAATATACAGGGTCTCTCTCATGTATGACTAAGTAGAAACAAGTTCCAGAATCATACTCTTTCTCACAAGTGAATTTATGCAGCCTTCCTCATCCCAAGTGGTAATCTGACACTGACACTGTTCAAAGTGCCACTATATTGCTTAACCTGTTTAAAACCAATATGGAACATGAATGGCCCAGTGCCTTCTCTTAACTACAGTAGAGAGATCCCCAAATATTGTATGTACTGGCTGTGCCTGCTTAAGCAACTATTGCATTGATCTGTGAACATATGCACTTTGCTTGCTTAGCCTACTTAAGAGATGGTCAGGTTCATAAAAACCGATCCAATTTAAGTTGGTTAACATCCTTTGTAGTACACCTGTTAAGTTTCTCTACAAAAAAGATCAAAACTTCATATTTTACAGTTAGTAAATAACCTTGTAATCTATCTCCTTTTAACCATTTACAAACTAATACAAGTGTGTCATTTTCCAAACACTGAGATCTCCCCTTTGGTCTAAAAACAGAACCTAACAGAACCAGCCTGCAGCAGGCATTTCATTTACATTCTGTTAGGCGGGTGAGGGAAACTGATAGCAACCCTATACAGGAGAAGTGATTTTTTCCAACAAGGAACTACTGTCTGGAATAAGTACTCGTGTGTCAAAGGGACAGCCTTGTTCTTTTCTAACGGATTAGAAATTTTAGTTCAGAAACAGCTCATGAATTCACATTTGGCATGGGTAGCTTTTCAGAAGCAGAAGCCAACAGACCAGACCATAGAGCAGAAATTAAAATGGATACACATTTAAACCAAGCAGATACAAACCCTTATGTTAAAAGATGAGAGGTCTGTATCACATGGGGCACACCTTGATCCTAAATATTAATATGCCAAGCACACTGATCTAATTTTTAAAAACCACACACATGAAAAATAGTTCACCTATACCAGTTCAGGAGGATTGCTGTTCCTTTTCTAAACATGTACCTTTGACACTAAAAATAAGCCTAAAGGATATCTAGGGCCAAAGTTCAAGTAACCTTAATCAAATAACATCCCCTTCCACACAACCCCCCCCCACATTCTAAAAAACCCATGATTCTGTGTTTTGTTTTGTTTAGTACAGCTGCTCTCACATTAGAGAACATGTCTAGGCCGTAAGAAAGTAGATTAAATCAGAGAGGGGAGAGAGGAGTGGAAAGCTAGCAGAGACGTCCAAGCCAGTCTAGCTGCAGTAATACTGCATCTGGTCTGTCCTCCTCCTCTTTCGAGATTGAAATTCTTCAAAGAATTGATGGATGTCCTCTCTCTTAACAACCTGTTGGGAAATAAAGTCAATAGAAGAGAATATTAAAACTGACAAAGCCAACACTGCACAATTAGGGTTGCACAATGAACATAACATGCTCCCTACGTGAAGCAAGCTTGCACTTTGGATTCCAGGCAAGAGTCTTAACACAAAATTGTACTGAAGACAATTATTTGTTGTACTCTTGGCTGATGAAGGGATCAAAATCCAGTCTGGAAACTGGGCTGCTGAAGAGAACAAAAACTTACTTTCGTGTGGGTTACAGTTTGTTTTCTTCCCTTGTTCAGCCTCCCCCCCCCCTTTTAAGTCACTTCCTTTCCCTGGCAGCAGGGCTTCATTTGAGCCGGCGCTTTCCAGAGCACAGCTCCATGATCCTTTAGAAGCATGACAGAGCATGTGACTGATTTATCTATTACCACTGAAGCATCAAAACTAAAGGGAGAGTGAGGGAATATTATGGGCAAGATCTTAGCCTTTATTCCAGTATAGCTTAATAGGAAACTGACTGGTTCTTATTCAGCAGCAAAAAGCAAGCCACCCATAGCAGGACAAGGGGTCTACATACCTGAAGGGGACCCTCCAGAATGAATTTGTAAATTATAGATTAATTTACAAAGTCATTTCACATGGGGAAAAACAAAACCAGCATGGAGGATACCAGAGAATGGGGGGGATGCAAACGGAAAATCTCATCCCTTAATAATTCTGTAACTTCTCAAAAGCTGCAAGCTCACTTTCTCTGTCCTTCTCCTTTAACTCTCAACTGCTTATAACAATTCTTCACACACTCAGCTGTGTATATAAATTGTAAGCATTTGGAGCTGGCTATAAAAAATGGGAGATTTACATAAAATAGACTTTGCTACTGCAGGGATTAAATTAACTTCAGATGCTCCAAATGATATTTCTCAGTAACAAGTATAGTAACATCAGGTAGGATCCCATGAGTAGCAAGTGTCCATTTTCCCCACTTCCATGGGACCCAGGAAAAGGTGTATGGGACTGGGGGACAGTGTCACAGGAGCCTCAAACAAAATGCCATACAGTACTAAGATTAAAGCAATGAGAAAAAACTGGGTGAAACTGCCCCCACAACAGTTCATAATATGCAGTCTTAGGTCTTCAATAAATTGTGAAAATCCTGTGAGGAAAAAACCTTGTGCAAGTTAGCTTGCTGTTGACAAATTTTATGTCTTTAAGTGGGTAGGAATTGAGGCTTTTTATTTTACTGTAGTTCAAACAGAGAGAATTCCACCCCATTTGTTAATAAAATAAGTTACCAGATCCAACAGCAAGTTAATCAGCTAGGAATGTCTTTCTTTCACAATAGATTGTTATGATTCATTTCTCATTAACACTGAAGACAGTAACTATTTTCCAGTTCTCCAAAAATTCCCCAGTAATAGTAATAAAATACAAAGTCAAACATACTTACAGTTCCTTCATCTGCAAACCTTCTCAGATAGTCTGTTAACTCTGTTTTCAGGTCATTATATTCTGGATAGGGTAAAAAACAGTTTTGCTGCAGTTGAGCCTTTAACCTTAGAGAGGCATCTTTACCTCCACTTTTGCTTACTGGACAAAGATATGAGAAAGCATCTTTGCCATACTACCTCTCAGCCCCCCACTCATTTTTGTCTCCAACACTTTAGTGTAGATCATAATGGAACAAGTTCTACACAAGTTTCAATCCTAGGACACCCCAATTCCCCTTGATCATCTAAAGGCCAGTCCAAAGAACAGTATTACCTCTCTGACAAAAGGCAGAAGGTTTAACTGAACCAAAATGCAATGCCAGAGCTGTATCAGAGTCCATTCTACCAAAGACTTAGGTCTTTCTGTTGCCCTTCTAATGAGACTTAAGTTCTATTTCCAGAAAGTTATACATGGCATCTAAAACAATACACACCTCAGAAAGGAAACCTTACATTTTGTAAAATATTGGCTGCAGCATCTTGCGGCCCAGCAAATACAAATAATTTATAACTTTAACACTATGTCTAAATGTGACTGAAAGCAAAGCCCTTCCTTACACACAGATAAATATTCTAGTCCCCATCACTAGTTACACAAAGTAAAATCCCATCTACCCAGTTCCTTATTGCGCAGGCTACATTTCAAGACACTCCAAAATAACCACAGAATGAGTTAATCGACACTACCGCCATCTTCCCAGAACTAGAATTTTTGTTAAAAAAATAGAGCACCACTTTCTTGCCCTAATACTAGTGAAGATACGCTTGCAAACATGTGAGAAATGCTTAGAAACATCTCATAAGTTAGAGGAGTTGGCAAGTAAGGTTTCCAGTAACCGGAGGAAGGGCTTCTGTGTACTATGGAACTCCATGTGCCTCCTCCTGATTAGCAGCAACATACATCATTCAAAGTAAGAGTTCACGCAAACAGTAGAGTACACAAAGGACTGCCTTTGTTTTTGTTACCCGAAGTACACTGCAGAAGCAAAACAGACTGTACTGCCATAGCACAGGTAAACCGAGAGAAGGCGAAAGAAGAACCAAGGGAATGGTCGGCAAATTCTCTGTTGAAGCAGCCAAGTAAAATGGTAGTGCTTAGTCTGAGCAGATATCATGTTAAAGACCTACATAAGTTTAAGAAATTTTAAATTTTAGAAAATTAGCTGGTACTAAAAGGCAACACCCCATTAAGTAAGAAAGTCATGTGCCACCTCTACCTCCATATGCACCTGTGAAAGGATGTTTTGAAAATTCAGTTGCAGATTACACAATGAAGTTACTTACCACAGATGAGCTCTACTTGCTGGACTCTATTCATGCTGCTAAGTGTGTCCATCAGGGGATCTCTCCTGTCCGCTTCCTGGTCACTAGTCCCTTTATCTTCATAGGCCAAGACAGTATCACATTCATCTGTTAGGAATGAGACTTCCAGATCCAAGTACATCTTCTAAAAAACAAAATAATAAAAAGTCTTGGGGCACTTTAAACACTAATGAATTCACTGTGGCATGAGCTTGCTTCATCAAACACATCTGGCTCAAAAAGCATCTGATGTCATTGGTCTTAAGTAGATTCTTCGTTTTTGTTTTACTGCAGCAGACCCCTAGGGAATTTATTTTTTTCACGGCAAAAAAATTAATTTTTCAAAACTTGTGCAATGGGCTCAGTGTTTCCTTCATCTGAAACAAGTGCCTTTCATTCATCCTTTGAAAACACATTCATTTTGAAGCATGATTGCTTTATACAGAAATGTGTTTGCTTTAAAATACTTTTCAATTGTTGTGAAGGAAGCCACAAGGATATGCAGTTGATGCTCATTAACTTGAACCCAATGAGGAGAGCAACTCCAGGGAGAAACTGAGCCAGCCAAGGAAGCCTGGAGCCACACTTACTGGGCTTGCCTCCAGAGGAACATGCGTTTCCACAGTCCATGCCAAGAATAGCAAAATAGAAGGTCTGTCAAATGGCAACTTACTGTGATGGCACATCGCTCTCTTCAGCATGTCTGGAACTTCGTTTAGCCAATCCTGATGACCTCTCCCCATTTTGAGAAGTCTAATAGCAACTGGTTGACCGATTTTTCACATGCTAACGGATTATACATGTTGCAGACGAGCAACATTTATTCACAACATGTCCTTTACTATTTTGTATATTTCTTAAGACAAACATCACCCAACATAGAAGCTACTACTTCCAAACATTTCTATTCAGTTACATTTTTATTAAAAAGTTTCATTTTGGATACTTCTATAGCCTTCAACCACAAACTGTACTAAAAAAACCCCTACATACCACACATTCTTTGCAAGTGCACAATTTGCTCCGCCAGTTGTGAGGCCAAAATGTGGCCGTGTTGGTCTTTAGGTGTTGATTGGTTTGAAGTTCTTGCAGCTTGCAGGTGGGTGTTTCATTCTTAACTGCCTGTAGTAAAATTAAAAACCACTTTTCACTTCCATTTCCAAACTCACTGAGGCTTGAAGCTTTCTTAATTTCCCAGATGTATATAAAATTATCTACTTCCAGCTCCACACTTCAGCAACATTATGGGGAAGATCGTGAAGCCAGAAATTAATGGGCCAGAATGCCACACAAAAACCTTGCACAGAAAGATCACCTACCCTAACTGACACTTTAGATTTTTAAAGGGTTATCACACACACCAAATTTCTTAATATGGAACTGATAAAAACCTCACCCTAGCAAATCTTTCTAGCAAAGGATGTCAGACCACCATCACAAGAAATAAAGCATCCCTCGGTTATTCCCAACACCAAAGACAACTTTGGCATGCTATAGTCTGCTCCCTCACAAGTCACAGCTTGTCCAAAGCTACAGAAGCTGTACTACCAGAGGCCAATTTAGACACAGAATTAGATCCAGCACAAAATTTCTGATTATGCTAGAGTTCTCGTGCAAGCGGAAACACCACAGTAGCCATTGCTGTCAAGTCAAACTTATTGGACCAGCACCTGCATTTCCACTTGTGTAAGATCCCGTGCAACCAATTTCTGGGCACTATAATATACAAGGAGGATACTGCCAAGTGTTGCAACAAGGTCTTGTGCAAAGAGAATTGTGCTAAATTTATGCTTCTGCTTGTTCATTGTTGAATCCATGCTATTTTGACGTGAGGGTGCTGCCACCAGGATCCCCAACCGCAATGCTAGCTGCTTGTATAAACACTGCTCAAGCAATCCTACACCACTGGTGAACGTGAATGAGCCTCTGGCAGAATGAAAACTGCCTAACCACACCGGTTCATGCACTTCACACACTAAATGCTCATGCTGTCTAATATCCCACAGGCAACTCTTCCACTAGGAAGATTACAGAGCCAGGAAGAGGCTGACACCATAGAATAGCAGCTGAGAAGGAGGCGGCAGACTCAGGTTGCTAAGTGGCTGCACACCCACATTCTCTGTGTCCAAGGCTTCTAGCAGCAGACACCTGTGTAAAATTATGCTTTCACAGGACTGCATACACTGCATGGATCAGTCCTACTAAGCCTTCCTAGCTGCCTCTTGAACCAGAGACAGCCAGCAAAAGTTAATTAGGTTTCTTTCACCAGGCCCTCTTGAAAGTGTCTAATGTCAACAATTTCTCTGCTGTTAACTGCTAATTAAAAATGACGCTACCACTAAACCCTGACCTGGACAGCCCAGGCAAGCCTGAACTCGTCAGGTCTCAGAAGCTAAGCAGGGCCGACTATGGCAAGTACTTGGAAGGGCAACCTCCAAGCAATACCAGAGGCATGCACAAAAGCAGGCTAATCAAGATACCTCTCTGTAAAACATCCAGGCCTCCAGTAGGGATCACCAGAAGTCACCATGACTTCCAGGCAAGCACACACACAAAGTATAAAAAAATGATGCTACTATGCTTTTTTAAAACTCTCTTCCATTAATGGATCTCAAACACAGATGTGACAACTTGAAGCCTTAACCTGCCAGAGAAGGAACACACACTTGCCTCTGAACATTCAGTGCCAGAGCTGGTGGATGGCTCATTACTCGGTACTACTTTCTCTTCTTCAGTCTTTATGTGGCAGTCTGTACGGTTTTCCTTTTTAATTTCTTCAGCTTCTTCAACATTCAGCGCAGCACCCTCTTCAGCAGCAGGGGTAACTTTGGTCACAGTGGGAACTACAAAGTACAAGCATTCATACGCTCAGTATCAGTTTGTCTGTTGAACACATTGTTATTCTCTGAAGCATCAAAACTGCACTCTACTGCAGAGAGAGAGAGGGGCATGGCCCACCTTAAAGAGTTGTTGTGAGGGTAAAAATGGAAAAGGGGGAAACCATGTACGTTGCTCTAAATTCCTTGGATGAAGAGCAGGATAAAAATGTGAGTGTCAAAAAGAGGAAAGGGCATTGGATTAAATCCTCCCTCCTCCTTGCACCAACAGTAAGTTTGCTCAGTCTGCAGAAAGAGAAGTGGGAGCCATTTCAGTCCATTTCCCCCTTCCTCACAACCCTTTCCCCTCCCCAGTGCCTTGTGGCATTTTGTCCATGAGGGTCCTCAAACCCCCCAGCATTCACTTTCTGGGAATCTTAGGGGGCTGGGGAGATACATTTCCACAAGCACTTCGTGCTCCATAGAATGTAACCTATACTTTTTTCACATCTTGAACAGGCCGCAGTTTCACTCACCTCAATAAAACTAAAATACTGAAGCACATTCCTTAAAGCAAGTTAAGAGGCTTCTCTAGCAGAAGACTGTTAGCACACCAGCTGCTCTTATTCTTCTCACCTGCTAACTGAGAGGCATAGCTCCATAGGAATGGACAGCGATCCATGCATGCCTGACACACCATTTCATGAAAGTCCCCACTATCTGGAGGAACAGCACCAAGATGCTAGGAGGAGGAAAAAACAGGAACACATGGCAATATCAGACCAATAAATAGCACTTCTTCAGCAAAAATGGAAAGCATTGGGACTTCCCATGTCTCTAACGTATACTGCATTATCCAGCCAGCCAGAATTAATTTTATCTCAAAACCTTCATCCAAAGTAAAAGCTGGAATTTATACATTCAAATGGTACACATTCCACTAAAACTAAGATTCGACAACACGAAGGTAAATAAAATTAAGTATACCGGTTCTGAACTGGAGCTTAATTGTTGCAGAATAGTGCTTGTGGGATTTGTGTGGTTATTTTAAACTAAGCAGCCTCAGAAATGCAAAGGTTTTTACAAGCTAGAAAAAAATCTGGTCTGGCAGTTTACAGTTACCACTGTTATACTTCCATCCCTTTTATTTAATGGAGTTATTTTATTAGATGTACTCACCCTTCCATGAAACCAATCTTCACAAATTATGCACTGGATCATTTCATCTGGAATCTAATTCAGAGCCACAGTATTACAAAATGTACTAATCCTTCAAGTCTAAATCTGTGGAAATAAAACTTCCCTCTCTCTTTTGAGCAGGTACCTGCCAGTCACTCAATATGCCTGTCATTGTAAATAAAGCAGCAGCCATTAAAGATGCAAAGGTGATTGTTTGAACTGCAGTACAGGCACTTTCGGGAAATAGTTTAGTTACCTTATTTCACTTATTTGTGTTAGTAAAGTAGCAGATTCAGTATTTTGTGAATAAGATGCCCTAGACATACTGTGCAAAAAAATGCTGCTAGTTTTTGTAGCCTTCTGTGATTTCTAGTGTTATGGAAAGCAGTCGCACATAATGCAGAGCATTCCCAACTCTGTACAATGGACTCCTCACTTCATTTTAACACATATAACAAATGCAGCAAATTTACTGATCAAATAATGAAAAACCAAATAAAGAATATTTGCATCTTCTGTACAAGACTCTAAGAAGCCATCTTACCTCATCTTCTGGATCTGGGTAAGGTCTTTTACAGACGCAATACAAACCATAGAAATTGTGGTTATACTTATTTCCTGGATTCAACTTCGCCTTTTCCTAGAAATAAATGACAGAACATGGGAGGTGGGGGGATGTAAACAGGAAAGCACTTTGTAACTTCACAACTCCAGAAACATTTAAAGTCTTGGCATCTTGAATACATACCAAGCATCCCCTCTTGAATCTCTCATCAGGCCTTATGATTTTGATATATGAAATAATTTGTGATTCCATAAGTGAGAGAAGCACTGGCTAATCAGAAGATGAATTGATTTTACATTGAGAGCAGCATGAAACTGGGGAAAAAATAACTTCAACAGAACAACCTAATGGGGAACATAGAGTAGCTGTGATAGGGCAATTTATAAATGTAATAAATAAATAAATAATCCCTTTTAACTGAAAAAAGAGAGCTAGCATGGCATAGTAGCTAAGAGTGTCGGATTAGGATCTGGAAGATCCAGGTTTGAATCCCTTCTTGTGCCATGGAAGCTTGCTGGGTGACCCTGGTCCAGTCACACTCTCTCAGCCTAACCTACTTCTCACAGGCTTGTTGTGAGAATAAAATCGAGGGCAGAAGAATGTAAGCTGCTTTGGGTTCCCATCAGTGTTCCCTCTAAGTTGAGTTTGTGTGAGCTAGCTCACAGTTTTTTTAGCCTCCGGCTCACACGTTTTCTCTTAGCTCAGAAAGGATGGCTCCAGAGCAAACTACTATGCTCACAACTTTAGTGCCAGTAGCTCACAAAATAGAATTGACTCCACAGGTTAGAGGGAGCATTGGTCCCCACCAGGGAGAAAGGCAGTATATAAAGGAATTACATAAATAAAATAAAGAAATCTAGGGAACCTGCTCACAACATCACTTTCAGCAACTCTGATCAAATCAGTGTGTTTCTTAAAAGCCCTCCAAAATATTTCAGTTTAGTAGATAAACTGAATGCATATTAATGCTACATTTATAACCAGCAGAACTTCAACATCACACAACTCACGAAAAGAAATCTAGAAGCCAAGGCAGATGTCCATTAATGTATCCGATCCACATATACAGTGCAGTACTTATCTAGCCCCCACTAAGCTGGGTAGGTTCAACCTTTGATGCAATCAGATATAGGCACACACGTTCAGGACCACTAATATTTGTGTGCATCTAAGGCCAATTTCACGTATCTCAGATATTTTTAATCATTCTTCTGAAATGCTGATGTACATACATAACTATGACAATAGGCAATAGTTCATATTAGTATGTTTACTTATTGTTTAAAATATTCATATACCAGCTCACATGCAAATGATTTACAATGTAACAACTAAAAACAAAACAAAATCCTAAAACTAGCTACACACAAATTAAGAACAGCAGCAACAACAAAAACAAGGGACTGAGCAACAAAACACCAGCAGGGGCTGGGGGGGGGGGCACAATCAAAAGAGGGACCATCACCCAAGAAGGCCCCATCCTTGATGGCAACCCACCTCACTCATGGTGGTCATTCCTTCTGATGGGTGGGGAGGGATAGTCATCACAGAGCCTGTGCAAATGAATGCAATGTCCAGGCAGGAATACATGAGAACATGCACCCCTTCAAATGTCCTGATCCCAGACTTAATAAGGTTTTAAAAGTTAAAACCAGCAGCTTGAGCAGTGGCTGGAAATGTACAAGTGAAGACAAGCTGCCCAGGAGCATGCCCAACTGGAGTTCCACTGTTGTATTCTGGATTAAAGTTCTGAGCAAAACTCAAGGACAGCTCCACATTTAGTATCTAACCTAACCTGGAGGTGATGAAAAACTGGCCAAACTGTGGCCGAATCTCACTACTTGAACAGTCAGAGCTTTTTAGAGGTGTTACATATTACAGCTGACATCTGTGCATCCAACTGTAGATTTTGATATAGCACCCCCAATCTACAAACTTTATCCTTCCAAGGTACATGGAGAGTACAGTGGGTGTCCACTGCCTCAACTAAAAGCCTGGTGGAACAGCTGTTTTACAGGCCCTGCAGAACTGTAATAGGTCCTGCAAGGCCCTGATATCAAGTGGGAGCATGTTCCACCACGTAGGGGCCAGGGACAACCAGAAGGTGTTGAGCAGCAGAGCTCCCACTTGATATCAGGGCCTTGCAGGACCTATTACAGAACTCGTGGGCACATCCAAAGCAGGCTGTTTGACAATCAGCCCTACCACCACCAAACAGAAGCTTAGTCTTATCTGGATTAACCATCAGTTTACTGGCCCTCATTAATCCCACTATATCCTCCAGGCAATGATTCAGAATTTACACTGATTCAAATAAAAAGGTCAGCCCCAGACTCAGCTGACCCAGCTGAAACAGGTGTAGATATTCACTTTTGTCCAATATTATTTGGAGGCGGACAGCTACCATTCTAGTGCCTTATCCAAAAATAGAATATTGGCAACCAGACCACAGCAATTGATACCTGAACCTGATGATTTTTTTTTCAATACAAGGCCAAATGCTAAAACAACAGTCTGACTATCATTTTAGTTCTTATCTTTATACTTACAGGAAGTAGCTTGCACTGCAAATTTTTGAATTTACTGTTTCCACAATCACAGCGGAAGTTTCTGGAAGAAACAAAATGTTCTTAATGTTAATGTTTCATACAGTTCAGCCAAAGCTGAAGCAAGTAGACCACTAACTGCATTTGTATGGGAAGTATGAATGGACAAATAATTATATACCGAAACACATATTTCTGATTCATTATCTCGTATTATTCAATCTGCCCTAACCAGGGCAGGGTCAGGCCTAGTTAATATTTGGATGGGAGACCACTAAGGAATACCAGGGTTGCTATGCAGAGGCAGGCAACCGCAAACCACCACCATTAGTCTCTTGCCACGAAAATCCATATTTTGCCACAAATCGGCTGTAACTTGACAGCACTTTACACACAGAGACATGGATGGCCCACGCTAGCACAATCTCAGAAGCTAAGCAGGGTTGGACCTGGTTGATACTTGGATGGGAGACTGCCAAGGAAGTCCAGGGCTGCAACACAGAGGCAGGTAATGGCAAACCACCTATTGCCTTGAAAACACTATGGGATCGCCATAACTTGTCATCTGCGACTTGATGGCAAAATAACAAGAATAATCACTCCTACTGTGTTCTAATGCGGATACAGATAACATGACATACATTATGAATAAAGCTGTGAAGAAGTGCGCTTCTTGATTTTGGATATTTATCACTGCAGACTCACAAACCATAAATACACTTGCAGCAAAAAAAGTGTGCTTGGAGTGCTACAACTGTTATGCTTTTTTCCATTTGGATCTTTGAAGATATCTTAACAACAAAGGCTTCTATTTTTTTAAAAAAATCACCCACACAATAAAATGGTTTGTGCATCCTTTTTTTTTTTTTTGGTAAACAAATTTTATTTTCTCAGGAATACAACATATAAAACATTTCATTCTATCAATTGTCTACCCCATTCCCAGTTCCTCCCCTCCCTCCAATGGCTTCCCACAATGCTTCCACCCCTGCTCCAAATTACTTCATATCATCAACAATATCAGTTTTTCATCATTACAATCTAAAGATAACATTGTTTGACTTAATATTGATCTAAACATATTAAGTTTTGTTTCACATCCCAGTTCTTTTCCAGATAAATTTTAAAATCATTCCATTCTCCAAAAAACTCATCGTCTTCTTTGTTATTCAGTTTTTTTGTAATCTTATCCATTTGTGCCATGAACAGAACTTTTTGTATCCAGTCTTCAACCTCTGGTACCTTTTCCGTCTTCCAAAACTGAGCATAAATCATTCTCGCTGTCACTATCAGGTACCAGAGTAAAGTTTTTTTAGTCGTATTTACTTCTTCCATTTTGAGTCCCAAAAGCAGAATTTCCGGTGCTTTTTTAAAAGAACATTTCAGTATTTTTTGCATTTCATTGTGGACTTTTGTCCAAAAAAATGGTTTGTGCATCCTGTTGATCTCGTATAAGTAATGTTTCTGTCTCAACTAGAAGTGAGAGGTTCCCTAAGAACATTTACTAGCCATTTCCTTTCGTGCAAACAAAAAAATTGGCAACTTGTTTGAAATGCACTCGTTTACAACATAGTACAAATACTCTTTCACAAGACACCTCCACCAGTCAATATTACCTTTTTGTATACAGCTCAAATAGTTTGTGTGTTCCATGACATTCATAACTGCATGCTAAACAGATCCCTGCTGGTTCTTCTCCTGGTGGGGTACATGTACTGCACGCATACAGGGCTTGCCGCTTCACTGCTCCCTGCAAAGACAAGAGCAATATAAAAAATAGAAATAAAGAAAATAACGCCACACTGGCAATTTAGGTGAAATATCAAAGACAGTCAGCAACCTGAATTAGAGAATTAGAGCTTTCAGCCTCACAGAGAATTCTAATGATTTCTGCATTTCTTAAGTAGCTACAGACACAGGGCACTGGCACAAGTATATATCTTTAATTCCTGATCCAGCCAGGTATAGGTGCCACAGCCTGTATTCCAACCAGGGCTACTTTCATGCTATTCACAGGGCCTCTGTTTCTAGTTCCCAAGTTTGAATTACCTACCAGGATAGCAGTAGTAAACAAAAAGTGAAGGCAACAAACTCAAAATATTTATAAAAAGTTAAACACAATCAGCAAGCAGACGAGCCATCAGAAGATACACAGCTTAACCAGCCACTTGAAGGAACAATGGTTGAGTTGCAGGGGAGGTCTATATTGGATTGAACACCAGGCACAAAGGAGAAACGTTTGGTGACTACTATTTCGTTCTGGCCACTGAAATTCAATTTTAACTGCTGTTGTGTTTTCACAACCCCAGCGTCCTCCTACTCTTACCCTTACTGTTTTGCGCTGCCATTTTTATTTTTAAAACATTGGCTTATTTATCTTTGTATTCCCATGTTTTGAGTACAGCGCCCTATACACACGCACACGTTTATAACAATCTAACAAAAATCTAACAAATAAATACAATATAACACGTATGTCGTATTTCTCTGTTTCTATGCTGCATTTTTACCTGAGGTCTATGAGCCGCCTAGGACTCGGGAGGAGGGAATCCCAAGAAAGGCGGAACCTGAGAATAGCTGCAACGTTCGTGGTCGCTCCCGCCCAGCACGGCGCGCGCCTCTTTCTCGAGCTCCTCGTTCTCGGCCAGCACCTCGGCCAGCGACACGACAGGCTCCTCGGCGTTTCTTTCCCCTTCGCCGGCAACAGACTCGGGCGCCTCTTTTTCCATCTCACGGCACAACAGCTCCTTCAGAGAGCCCCGCCGAGGAAGACAAGTGGCAGGAAGAAGAGGAAAAGGCGGGAAAGCTCTGAAACCGCCACCAGGAGGCGCCACAGCAAAAGCCGGAAGCGGAAAACGGCTATCGCGCTATAACCACCGTCACAAAAAAGGACGCTGAGCGGGAAAGGCTCCGCGCAGAACAAAAGGCTAGGAGCACGTGACTTACGTAAAGGGGCACGTGAGCTGTCAGAGCCAATCACGAGAAGAAGGAGACCGTTGAGGGCGGAAGGAGACAAGGCACGTTAGCGGGACAAAAAAGTCTGAGTTGTTTGAAGGCGGAGTGCGAGTTCGGTGGGCGGAGCCAAGAAAGCGGTTGGTGCCCTATCGGAAACTTCGACCAGCGTTAGCCTGTTACTTTCTCTTCCGGTTCATCGGGAGGGGGGTGAGCGGGCGCTGAGCCTACTCGTCCTTTGATAGGCTGTTTGTTTCCTGAGAGGAGGGAAAAGATGGAGCTCCGGGGGGAACTGACAGGCCGGGACGGGTTGAAGCGGCAGCTACGAGTTTGTTGCCAGCCGCAAGGAGACCTGCGGGGCCTGCTAAGTGGCCTGGTCCTGCTG